TTCAATAGGCCAGTTAGGGTATGACTATGTGCTCAACATTTCTAGAAAATCTTCCTAAAAGATGAGAACTCTTTTAATCTGCAGATTTATTTTTTACTCCTTCAGTGAAATGACCTTTCTTCATTTTCACAAAATTATCTTCTGTTTAAATGTTTTGAAACATCAATTTCAGGGACATGAATAATCTTTTTGTTATACTGCCTTTGTCTTTCTCATCATTGACTTCACTCCAAATGCTTTAATTTTCCTTTCTCATTCCAACTGATTGTCTCAAGCCTTTCCTCTTTGTTGGTAAAGATTTTCGCTGGTGTCTATTCTGTTTCCTGCTATTTCTAATGAATAATTTTTGTTCTATAATTATCATGCTTTTTTCATTCCCAATCTGTTTCCCTTGATCTAAAATATCCTTTTTCATCTCACTCTATTGTTTCATCATCTCATCTTTGAGTTATTGTTTAACAGAATTTATGTTCTTATTAAATTAGGTACTCTATTTATAAGAAACAATTATTAGACAAGTCCCTGGATTCAGTGAGTTGATGTTTTCTTCTTGGTGGCAGCTCTAACCTTACTGGGGGGAGGGTATTACATTGCAAGGAACTATCGACCACTTCCCCATGCGGAGTGTTGCTCCAAAGCCTTCATTTCTCCAGAGAGGCAATGTTTGTTCACCTTCTTCCATTTACTAGTTCCTCTTCCAAAATCCTTTCTGCTATTCCTCAGTCACAAGAAACAACAGCAACAATAAAACCAAACAAAACACAACAGAAATGGAAGATACCTCGCCAGTTTGCCTCTCTCTAGAGTTGAAGAGAATTTTCAGCAAGCTGCCATCTTGTCAGTAAAATTCTACGGGACTCTCAGGATTCAGGCCCTGATAGGTCTCTCTGTTTCTGATCACGGGTTCCATTTTTTCCTTGACTATTAGTTTCTGAGGTACATTGCAGTAGGTCTGCCATTCATTTTCTTTGCTCAGTTATTGTTACTATTGTGTGTATGTGGGGGGAGGGGGCGGTTACTGGCTTATACTATTTTAGGATCACTATATTTTCTATTAGTGGTGAGAAATTATACACTACATTTTCAAATTTTTTATCTCCAAAATCAAAAGCACCCTTTAAAATTCATAATGTGGGTTTCTTTTAGTCTTCTTAACGGATTATACAATAATCCACCTGTGTCCACAGAAATAAAAAAAAAATACTCATTCCTGTTCCCATTATGAACAGGCCTATTTATAACTAGCTCTTTGATTGCTACCTATCAAATATTCAAATTGATAACAGCCTTGTACGTGAAGATAACCCGAGTTAGAGAACAGCAAAACAGCAATTATGGGGAATACCAGAAGTGATTCTTGACATGACAGGAGCATATCACAGACTTACATTTTCATAATTAGATTCTGCTTTCCAAGTAGACATAAACGACTACTGAGTCTAAAATGTTCCTTTCCCCTTGACAATACACACGCCAAGAGGGAAAAGAGTCTCAAAAGGTGAAGATACACTTTCCATAAAGAAACTCAGGATTTAGTTCTAAATGTTTTTCTTTTATACCCTAAAATAAGAATACAAAGTAAAAATAAAGAAATAAAAAGCAAAAAGGGAAAAAGAAAACAATAAAGAATGAAGACATAGTGAAAACGTGTTCCTTATTGTGAATGTATTTTACATTAATGCTGTACAGACTCTAGAAAATACTCTCATAATAATGGTTCCAATATTGTCTGGACAGCTCTGCTGTCCAAAGCGTTAAGCAATTTGCCTGGCCACTGAAGAACAACCCTGATCTGCCAGCCACTGCTGAGTGACCTGAGTCAATATTTGCACGTGCTTCAGTTTCTGCTGTAGTTATCCCTTATATTGGCCCATACGAGCCATAGAAGTACAGGCTGGCAAAATATGTCACTCATACTGAACTCCAAGATTCAATATTATAACGCCTTTTAACTAAAAAGACATTAGCAGACTATGTTGAAGAACATAGTTCTAACTAAGATGTCTAGCCTGGGTGGGTCAATATTAGGGAAAAAAATGGACTATATAAAACACAACACAATAGCATATAAAGATCTCTGGAGAAAAATCTTCTAGATTAATGCATAGTATTCAATATAACTAGAATAACAAATGGGAACTCTAAAACAGTGGCTAACAACAAAACTTTTAGAACAATTAATCACAAGAAATCTTTAGTTGAGATTTCACTGTTCAACTGCATATTTTACAACTTGTTTGCCTTGGATTCTATGTAATGCACTAAGACATCTCATAGAGCACACACCTGCACGCACACACTAGCTGCTCTGATTTATAGTCACAATTTGCACAAGGAAGCAATTTAATTCTTATCAGACCAGAAAAAAAACATAGCTGATTTACTGATAACTAAAGACAACTTTCTATCAAAACAAAAAATAATTCCCCAATGTGACAAATAAGCTACCTCATCTGTCTTGATCAGAGAGACAGAGCCAAGGACTGAAGAGCCAGGAGCCCAGGTTCACTCACTAGAAACAGTAATAATAATAGAGTACACACTTTAATAATAGGAGGTCACATTTCAACCTCACATGAACGCCATGAGGTAATCAGGAGGACATCATTATTCCTCAAGTTACAGGTGAGTAAAGCAGTCCCACCATGGGCAGAGCTCTCAGAACACGGAGCTTTTGACCCCTAGAACAGTGCTCTCGCCAGCACTCTGCACTGTCACCATATCTCTTTTCTCTCTTTCAGACCCCAAGACTCCATCTGTTTCTAAGCCCATCCATCACATCCATGCCACTGATCCAAAAGGGAGTTGAACAAGATTTGTAACTAAACTAAGATAAACAGCCCTAATCCAGAGATTAATTTAAAGGACCCCTCCCCTCCTCGCATCAGTGACTCAAAGTTTGCTGCACATTAGGATTGCTTGGAAGAGTTTATCCCAATACTCAAGCTGTTTCCTATACAATTAAATCAGAAACACTGGGGATGGAACCCAGGCATCAGCATTTTGTAAAGTACTGCTGGTGACCCCAAGTGTCAGAGCCAAGTTCCTCAGGGGAAGCATACAATAAAGACTGGGGAGATTAAATTTAAGGACATATTATATTAAACAAAATTAAACACTGCACAGCATGATAGGAAATATGCAAATGGTTTATGTTTCAAATTTTAAAAATAAATAGAAAGTGGAATTTCCTTCTTTATACCAGACAGACTTGGGAGTTTTTATCAATCTACATCACTTTTCCTTTCATTGCTGGTGTTTCAATGTTGCTTCCTGCAGAACTGTCAGCAGCATGGACTGCCCCAAGCACTGCCCTGCTTGGAATAGTGTTGCTTTGCATAAAAATCATTAAATGTTGGAAAGATGGCTCTCAACTGAAGTCAGGGAAAGTTAGGTAAAATTATCAGACACTGAGAACAGTGAAGCTTGCAAACACCTGTAGTGAGAATCAATGTCAGGAGACAATTGCAGCTTCGTTTCGTTTCTATCCTCTGGAAAAAATATCAAACTTGCAGCCCAGAGACGAGGACTAAAAGGATAAAGTGCAATACTAAAAGGTATCCGAAATGGTTATTTCGAAAGAGTTGGTCCATATTTAAAAAGTAAAATGCTTAGAAGTTAAACGACCAGTTTCCATTAAAGACACATCAGCTGACCCCTCCCCAAGCTCTTGTCAAATTCACAACCAGGAAGATAATAAACAGCTGGATTACTGGTACAATTGCTTTAGGTAAACAGACACTATCAATTAATAGAATCCCTGTCACTTCAGTGTCCACATACCAAATCGTACAAAACAGATTATTTTATTCCAATTCCATGAAAAGACTGGGTCACCAGGAGAATCTTGAAATCTTCATCATTAACCGAGTTTGAAAGAAAACTCGCTTCCAACACAGATCTGTGGAGGGTAAGGTGTTCCACGGGGAAACAGACACCCTGCCCACCTGTGGAATACTTCTTGCCCACCTAGCTCTACCAAGTAAACACTGTCTGATGTTGCATTTTTATCGCGGAAGTCTGAATGGTGAGCTATGATTCTGATTAAGCCCACACAGGAACTTGGGAGCTGTGAGGGGGGGGACTTTAAGTCCATTTAGATGGACGCATTCAGAAGAGGACCAAAACAAACCCCAGTCTTTATGAGCTAGCTGGAGGAAGTACACGTGAGAAGCACCAGTGACAAATAAGTGATATTGCCTGGAGAGTCTACTCTTGGAACAGACAGACATTGGTAAAGCTGACAAGCTTTCTCTCTCATCAGGACACCTCCTTAAAGGCACCGGCACAGACACAGACAGAGAAAGTAGAAATTGGGAGCTGTTACTGTTCTTCAAAACATTGCACCTGCATCTAACACCTCTGCTGTGTGCTATGCCATTGCATCTGACTGACGGTGCTAGCTAGACTTTCCACCTGGCTTGGAAGAAAACGAAAATAACCCTCTGCTAATAATAATCCTATTTCATTCTAAATAGTTTCATTTCAGGCTGATGAGAAAAAAAAGGCACATTAAAACTACCTTCACAACTCCAGAGCACGCACATTTCAGAAGGTAGGTCTATAAATAAATGTGCTTCTGTACTGCACACTGTAAACACAAAACCGTCAGGCTAGCGAGGGCTGCAATTGAAGCTGGAGCCCCGGTATGAACTTACCTGGTTTTTAAAGTCCCAGTAGAATATGCTTCCCGTCAGCACTGAGCTCCTTTTCCTAGTTACACAGTCAGGCAAACACCCCCAACTACATCTGACTTTATCTCAGCCCCATCCTTGCTCAGAAGCTTGCGATTTCATTCAGAAGCAGCCGGCCCTCCACAGACTGAATATGCACAGAAACAGCAATGAAAGGGATGGAAGATAAACCCCACCGTCGCACCAAGAAAACAGCAGCACGAGCACCAAAAAGCAGCTAAGAGAGGGGGTTTTTCTTCTGCTGCGCTCCCCCAAGCCAGCCCCCTTTCCTGGGTACAAGGTCTCAGTGAGGAGAGAGGCTCTTACCTGAGCTGAGCATGCTGTGCATTCTCTGCTGAGCCAAGAGCTGCTCGCGTCCAGCCACCCCATCTGAGGAAAAACACGAGTCACTCTCGTAAATTGTCTGCAGCATATTGCAATCGCTCTGACTTCAGCTCCATGAAAGATTCATCTCTGCTCTGTGCAGGGGCCCCGGAGCTACCCTCCCTGGGCTGGTCCGCCCTCCTCCCCAAGGAGAAACAGCAGAGGATCGACTCCCACTGCGGTTTCCTTTCTGTTCAGATGGACACACACTTTTTCCAAAGACCTGGCCACTTTTCCCATGTTACCAACCTGTGTGCAGAGCAGAAAGGATCGGGCGGATGCTCTGGCCCTCTGGAGTTCAGGTTACCCTGAACACTAAAAAGCAGGTGGGAGATGGGAATGTGCTTCGGGGATATTGCTTTGTCAGAATAAGTAGAAAAATATTAACTCTACCCACGAGAAAGAGAAACCAAGGAAACCTGGCTGAAAGTTCTTCAGGCTGCTAGAGTTTCCTTGCAAGAAGCGGCAGTCCTAGGAGTGGCTTCAGCTGGTGCCCTTCTCTGTTTGTGTGTGTATCTTCCTCCCTCTCTGGTCTCTCTCAGCTCAAGTTGGCTAAACCCAGTGATAATCCATTTGCATATGAATCAACAACAGCATGGCCCGCAGGCACAGAAATAGAACAATGGTCGGCCTGAGCCAAAAATAGGTCAAGCCTGGCCGAGTGATTGGAGCCTGCATTAATGCATTTAAAAATACCCCAGCAAACCCAGCTGTCCAGCCTCTATCTTTCAAACCATAATTCTCTATTGCAGGGCCTTAGGAGCAATTAACTCTTTCCTCCCTCCCAGCTTGCTTTCCACACTGTTTCCACACTGGCGATTTGCATCCAAAGAAAGGAAGGCAAGAAAAAAAAATTAAGAAACATAATTCTAAGAGGGCAAATGCACATATACTTCATTTCGTTTTATTTTTGTAGTATGTGTTTTTGGAAAAGAGAGGAGAGAAGTGCAGAGCTCTGTATTGGTTCTAAAATAATACTGGAAGCTTTTGCTCATAATGTGGTTTCTGCCTCACCCACGCACAGCAATCCTGGCGTTCTATTTTTGTTGCCTGTTTCTTTGGCTACACTGCAGTTGGCTGTGGCACTAGAAGCTTTTCTGCCTTCTAGTTTCAAGACTGACAGGAGATTTAGTAGAGGTAGTTTCGGAAAACAAGCACACTCCAGAATAAAATATTTAGGAAGGATGGCTTGATTTTTTTTTACTTGCTATTTATGTAAGGCAATTGTCCATTTCACAAATCTAGATATGATGGTGGTACCCAATATCAATTTTATCGCATCCAGCCTCTATGATATTTACACTTAAAAGAATAGCTTAGACCTGAAAATATTTCATCTCTTTCAGCCTCTCAGGCTAAACTCAATTTACCTGTAAAAGGAGAAGCAGGTGTGGGTGTTTTCTTATAGATGGATGCAGAATTAGTAAAGTAGGCACCATCAATAAATAAATATACTGAGTCCCCAGCTGTTTATCTCTACATTGGTTACCTGAAAAACAGACCTCACTTTTCTAAAACAAATAGCATTTATAAAAGTTGATAGATTCCCAAACCAACACACATTGGGGAACTCATCTATAAAGTAAATATATTACAGTATGTGATCCTAAGAATTCTATAGTCTATGGTATGCACTTACAGTATCATTTGAACATCACAGATTGGGTTGCAAGCATCTAGCCACTCCAAGGGCAAATGCAAAAAGTGATAACCCACTGATCATGGTAGCCTTTCTCCCTTTTCTAAATTAGATGAGCAAGGAAAGTGTAATTCCCAAGGCAGTAGTAGCAACAGAGAAGGAAAGAGAAAAGGCAGAATATTTCAAGGTTCCCAGAGCAATCTCATGGAGGAGGGACCTCCCTCAAGGGAAGAGTGTGGGGCAGAGGGAAGAGAACAAGAGGACACAGAGTTGGGGTGGAAGGGAAGAAACTTGTAAGTCATTAGGCAGATAACCCACTGCTGAAGAAAATGGCACTGAATTTTCCTTCTTTCATAGATTGACTCCTACTTCTTGCAAAATTATATTTGGGCAGATAAATTACAAGATTTAAAAAAAGAACTTATTCCAAACGGCATTTACTTAAGCTAAACAAGAGGATCTTATGTTCCTGTCAGTGGAAAAAAAAAACCTTTTAATTCCATCTGGTATTACAAGTGAACTTTCACTCAATTAAGGGAATGGTATATAAGATTCAAGGGATGGAAATATTGTGGATCTGGCAACTTACTTGGAGATGATGTAACCAACCACAGCATTTTAGACCTTGGACATTTAGCGACTGTCTACAATGGTGTTCAAGCTCTTGGTACCCAGGATGCTGAGGAACCTGGGAGTTGACGCACACTCCATGCAGAAAAGGCTCTTCTTCCCACCAGGGTGGCCTCACTTTTATGAGTCTACATTTAAATATGTAAGATTTATTTTGAACAATGACTTGTTGTATTAAAAAAATAACTGAAAACCATTCATCTAATACAAAGGAGCTCCCTATTTTACCCATGAAGAAAGTGAAAAGACTTGGGGAAGGTTGAAAAAGCACTCATTGCTGTTGTTATGACTACAGAGTCTTGCTTAGTCTCTACTAGCTCATCTCTGACTAAGTAGGTGTAGTCTGCATGTTCTCTCGGTTGCCAACTGGTCCCTTATTAATATGATGCAAACAATTATCTGAGATATTCAGAATAAATGTTAATAGTACCTACTGATGAAAAATGGAACCACTGTCTCATTGTGTCAGAATGGTTATGAAGAGAATATGCAAAACTAGCGATTGACATCTAATGGATAACAAAAATCCCAGTATTGCTATAATATACTCATATATCTTTCATCTTTAAGTTTAAATTATACCCTCAAACTACAAAACTCTCCAAGCTTTTATAATCATAAAAAATAAAACTCCACAGAGTGACTTAGAAATTATCCTATTTCTCAGAGGTTCCAAGAAAGGTCATTCCACACAAAATAGTATGAATAATGTGCTTTCTTCATTTTGACCAAGTTATTTAACTTGAGGTCTATTACATTTCATCCCTACATTATTTCAGCTTTATTTTTCTATCAGCAGTCTTATCTTTCAACTTTTGATGATAAAAACTCAGTGTAGAGTGAAAAGACTTTTGACAATTACCATAAAATAGATACTACTTGTTTCTGAATGGAAAAATAAGCATCATTAAAACAACCACCAAGTACACTGATTACCATAGTTTCATTATCCAGGAACTTAAGTATTTAGAATTTTGAGTTAATTTTTCTCATATCATCTCAACGATGGTAGTAAAGAAATATGATTAGATTTCTTTAAGGGCATTTACAAAACTAATTTACTGACTTGAAAAAAAGGATATTAAATGCTATATTATAAAAATCATAAAAACTAATTCACATGTCAAGCTAGAATAGATAGGAGTTCCTTCATTTATATTTTAATATAATACATTTTAATTTAATTTACTATTTTGGAAATTAATCTAAATATTATATTTTACATTTCTTCAAATAAAAAAAATGAAAATAATGGGGGGAGGGGACATGGTTCCCAGTTTAATAGAAAATGGGAAGGGGAATCCAATCCTAATGCAAAATGTGATTTAAAAGTGATAATGGCCCTGGTTGGTGTGGCTCAGTTGGTTGGGCTTAGTCCTGTGCACTGAAAGGTTTCTGGTTGGACTCTAGGTCAGGGCTGGATCCCCAGTAGGCATGTGCAGGAGACAGCTGATAGATGTTTTGCTCTCACATTGATGTTTCTTTCTCCATCTCCCTCTCCCTTCCTCTCTCTCTCTAAAAATCAAGAAAAAAAATCTTTTAAAAACAGTGATTATGGCCCTAGTCAGTTTGTTTCAATGGATAGAGAGTTGGCCCAGGGACTCAAGGGTGTTAGTCTTGACTCCAGTCACGGTCACGTACCTCAGTTGCAGGGGATCCTATTAAGAGACTAGTGACCTCGAGCAGGACACTAATATAATATTCAACATCTAATATTTCATTGATTTTCATTTTAGCATATCTTATTAAAAACTCAATAATTAACTTTATTTCTTGCATTTACTTTTCTTGCCTTGTCACTATTTCACAGTATAGAATAACCAATGAAAAAGGTCAGGCAACAGACTGTATCAGAAATTGTCTTACATGGTATCATTTGAGTAAAAAACGTTATCAAATATTTTTGAGTGAACAGAGTTTCAAATATTTTTCTTGTGAAGTATCTTAAAGATGTTGGCACTAATAAATCAGCATAATAATGCATTTGTGTAGGTCTAATAACTGCAGTGATGGCTGAGCTTTTAGAAAAGTCTGGTTATCAATTGCATTGCCTAGTACCAGAGGTTCTATTTTTTAATTGGCAAATTCCATTGATTATACTATTCTGACTCAAAATTCTAAAATATAGCTTCAGACTCAAACTCCTTCCTGACAAAAGTCACTTGAGAAATATATGCATATAAGTTCTTTGGTTAATCTCTTCCCACCCACCTCTGCCTTCCCTCTGATATTCATCAGTCTGTTCCACCCTTCTATGTCTCTGATCTATTGTGTTCATCAGTTGATTTTTTTCATTAAATTCCACATATGAGTGAGAACATGTGATAATTGTCTTTCTCTGACTGGCTTATTTTGCTTAGTATAATACTTTCTTAGTATAATACCTCCTTACTGTTTCAAAGGGTAAAAGATCCTTATTTTTTACAGTTTCATGGTATTCCATGGTATAAATGTACCACAGCTTTTTATCCACTCATCTACTGATGGGCACTTGGGCTATTTCCAGATCTTAGCTATTGTAAATTGCACTGCTATGAACATAGGGGTGCATATATTCTTTCTGATGGTTTCAGGTTTCTTAGGATATATTACTAGAAGTGGGATCACTGGGTCAAATGGCAGTTCCATATTTAATTTTTTGAGGAAACTCCATACTGTCCATACTGTTTTCCATTATGGCTGCACCAATCTGAAGTCCCACCAGCATTGATTCTGAAATAGCAACCAACCTTGACTAACCATCCTATGTTTACTGAACTTTGTATAGACCAGGTATTATGGGACCAGAGGCTCTGAAAATAAGTCTTAGTTTCAAGACAAAATACCACATTTGGCTACAGAGCTATGAAAATAAAAATTCTGTGAGAGTTCCAATTATGTAAAATTAGCATTCTGATCTTGGCTATTTGGTATGCTTCTAATGTTTAATTTTATATTATTCTATAAAGTAAGCCTCCTTATGCAGCTGCATCTTTGATCTTAATCATCTTGGAAATAAGTGGAATTCTGATCACCAAAATTAAGAGTCATATGTAGCATCTGGATAAATCCTACATTTGAGAGGTGTGATAAAAGTAATATCCATGTACTAATATAAATTAAGGCAGACATTAAAAAGTGAACCCAGAGCTTTTTATGTCATTTCTCACCATAAAGGTCAAGTTGATATTTACCATACCAAACCATTTCTATCACCAAGTTAAATCAGGAGCATACCAGAAGGCCTGCCTCTGTAAATAGTAACATTTTTAAATGTTGCAATTAAATTCTGACTTCATAATTCCATCTAGTTGGGTGCCAACTACCAAATTTAAGAAATAACAAAACCCAACACATACTTTACTTATTTTTGACTGATCAAAATATTTATAGTAATGGCATATAACTAAAGTACAAACATTTGCAATTGGCCACATCACTAAGTATATGGA